AACAAGAAACCTTTTCATTCTAGTTGCAGAGGCATAATCATCACATTTCCAAGCAATTTTTAAACCATTTGGACATTTTGCTTAATTTGTGGACAGAAATGTAAAAAATTCAAATTAAATATGCTCAAGTAACATATTTACCCAGTGATTCCTTCTTATTATCTCTTGCTGTAGTAATTATCTTAAAATAGTTTGTCTTTTCTCTGTAAAGAACAGGAATCAGCTACTTATTTCCCTATTTTAATGTTCTTCTGATGAGATATCAATGTATACCACAGTAAGCTAGCTGTCATTTACTTTCTTTTGCTCAAATATTTTTGTTCAGCTGGAGGGATTTGCTGTTGCCAGAGATCAGAGTGGAAGCACAGAACTCATCTCCTTTCTGGGGAGCTGTTTGATCCCCACGCCCTCAGTCTACAAGGGAAATCTGGACTAAAAACCAATTGGTTTGTGGTGCAAAATGGTGCATAATGTTTCTAGATTTAATTAAGGTTGCAAAAGAAGCCTTCAAGGCAGATTTATAACTCTGCTGTCTTCACATGGTGGGGACTCTCAGGAGAACTGAAAATTCACTTTTCCCTTGTTAATTTTTCCCATCCTTCTCTGGATCCATTCACATAGCTCTTGGTACACCTTGGCATTGTTATCTCCATGGACAGTGAGATTTTATGGGCACAGGTTTGTGTTTGGTGAGAAAAAGAGAAGCATTAAATGGGTTTTATTTAGTGCATACCCATAATTGTCACTGTAGGATTAAAACCAATATAACTTGCCTTAGTACTTTGCTTTTTAATGACACTGAAATAACAGCTCCAGATGACAAAATCTGCCTGGAGAATCTGTATCATGTCAGGCAGCTTAATTGCTGTTTAATTTTTCTTTATTTCTTTGCATCAAGTGTGTTGTCACACCCCAATGCGTCTGCCTTAACTAATAAAAATATCCCTTTTTTTATTTAATGACTAACATTGACCAGTCTGAATTGTACACCATCTATCACTGTAGTGATATTATTATTTCCCAAGCTGTCGTGATTTCTGTTAAAATAACCATGGATTTAATAGAAGCAGAAGCATAGCAATAAAATATATTGCATATTGCACTTGTTTTGCAAAATATGCCTCTCAATTTAAAAAACAAAAAGAACTGAAAAAGCTCCTGTTGCCTGTTTTCATTGTTAGTAGTCAGTGATACATCACAGCTCTTAAACACATAGAGAAATAATTGATAACTTGAAGAAAATTGGGGTTTGTGTCTGAAATTTAATATCATGTGCAGGAACTGGTCTGTAACCAGTCTTTTAGTGATAAACCACATTTAATGGAACCAGAGATGGGTCATTCAGCTGAGAGCTCTTAGGAAAAACAAATTTCTTGTGCACTTAGAGAGTAATCACCCCATTAGAGTTTTTAGAAGAAGGAAGAGTGACTTGCTAATCTAGTGGAGTTTTTGGAAGAAATTAATGAGCATATGGCTAAGGGAAGTCCATTTGCTGTGGTATTTGACTATCCAAAAATATGTTCAATATTTGATTTTAATTGATAAAAGAAAGTGAATTGAAAGGTTTTCTTGTAGAAAATTATGTCTGATTAAAATAAATACCTAAAAGGTCAGTAAAAGGGCAAATTAACAGTGGAAGGACCTCACTGACAGTATCCTAATGAAACTCCTGCTGAAATCCTTGCTGTTCAATAAATAAAAAAATAAATTAAAAAAAATAGGAGAATGTTCTGATATTTTAAGAAATCTAATTATAATACTGCTCAGAAACTTTTATCCAGTATCATGCTTTCAACACATCTTATGTTATGTCTGAACTGAACACCAAAGTGGAAAGTACCTATAATGTGGCAATTTTAAATTTTAGGACTGGTGCTTTTTCTTTAGGTCAGATAGAAAAACAGAGAAACGTGACAAAATCATGACTGGAACTGCAAATAAAATAAGAGCTTGTACAATAAAATACCTGTTCCCTGAAGGTAGAAATTGTCTTTGGATTTCAGGAATAATCCTCCTAAAGCTAAGATAAACACTGCTGAGCGTGAATGGTCATAGCTGAAAAAATAGAGTTAAGTGCTCTGCTCGGTAATTAAACTTAGAAAGGAAATTGCCTTCAAGTTAGAAAGGAAAATTCAACTTTGTCTTGTAAGGATTTCACACATATTTCAAATAAAATTTAATGCGTTTCAGACACGAGATGCATTAACAGACATGGCAAATATTAACATGGCTCCAGCATGCCTCCACTTTAAAGTCCCCTCAGAAAACTTCTCTTCCTTTTTCTCACATTCTATTTTTAAATAATTATCAGTCTATGATTGCAGCTGTTAAAGATGGTTAATTTATTCCATTCATGGGTCCTGTAGGTGCAGGTGTGTTGGTGAGTTACACATGCACATAGACACATTTGTGTGAACTTTCTTTTCCGTTACGAATCAGCACAGGTTTTTTTTGGTTTTGTTTTTTTTTTAATAATTAGCTATAAGAAACTTTTGAAAACCTGCACATTTCTTAGGAGAGTCATTTACCTCTGTCTTCCAAGCAGATGCAGCAGTTTGCACACCAAAAGATTCCATTCTGCTTCGATGAAAATACTTCAGAAACAGCTAAGATTCGAATAGGCCTTTCAATCCTCAAGTAATGCTTGATGAAAACACAATGAGGAATGACACCTTCCCAGCCTCTGTGGGTTTTCTGAGTGTGTTCTGCATTGTCCCTGCCCATGCTGGCGACAAAGAGTTTGTTTTCCTCTGGTGCTGCCTCACGCCTGGCACAGCAGCAGGAGAGAGCCGCGTTTTGTCGTGTTTTGTGCAGTTATTACTTGAGTGCTGAAGGCAAAGCTTTTATTTTTGGCTGGTAAAGAGAAGCAGCATGAGGAGTTTAGGTTCTAGCCTAAAACTAGTTCTGAGCTTTGTGGGCTGGTGTGGGAACCCAGGGCACAGGGAATATTTCTCTGCCTGCTCTGAGGGGTCCTGACCCCCAAAGAAGCATTGACTTTCATCCTCACCCACGGAGAAACCTTTCAAGACTTCAAGATATGCTAGAGTCTACAAGAGTGTGAAATAAATAATAGAGAATAGTGTAGTTTATCACAGGGTGAAAGACATAGGTTTTGGGAGTTTTTAGTATGGAGGCAAGATGAAGGACGTAGGGTGTTTTCCCAAGCTTCTTCTTCATCTACTCCATTTTCTGCAGTGCTAGTGGCATAGGGTGATTGGTCAAGGAAAGCCACAGCTTTAGGTTATGTGGACAGACAAGGGATGAGTTATTGCTAGATAAGTGGAAATAAAGTGTGTTTTGAGAGTTACTTGGATGAAACAACTTTAAAAGACCTTGAAACTGTACATCTGGGGCCATTTTGGGGTGCTTTTCCTGCACGCAAAGTCTGGTGCAGATGGCATGCTGAAGTTTTGATAAGACAACAATAAATGACAAAAAGACCAAAAAAGTCCAGTGCATCTCTCTTTCCTGGCACAGAACTGCTCTACTAGGGTTTTCCCCACCAGGGGAACCCACAGTAGGCCCCAACATGGGGCCAGAAATCGATAGGCTGGTAAAAACCTGTGTGAAATCACGGCATGGTGCAAGTTGGGCACTAATTTGTGTGGGGCCAGGATTTCATGTGAGCATCTCCTGGAAGTTTTTAAGGTTTTTAAGAAGGAACACTCCCTGAAGCCCACCTGCATGAGAGCTTTGCTTTACCTTTTCAGAGCACAGGCATGTGCTTGTCCATCACTATAAACAATTTAACACTTCAGTTTATCTTTGTCTCCAGAGTTTATCTTTGTCTCCATTATCACTCCACACCTGGGGACTGCACTTCCCTGCACCATCTCCTGGCTGAGAGGAGCAAATTGCACTGGTCACTTTTTCTTCTCTGCACCTTTAAATTAATGAGGAATTAAATAATTTGTGACTTTCTGCCCACGTGGTGTACGGATTTCGTAACAGTACAGTTTCAGAGTTCATTTTTTGAGGTGCTGATTGAGGTGAAACTCTGCTAGGTTTCTGAGGAAACCTGAAATGTAAATAAACATCTGCCCTGTGGTGCTCAAAATTGCCAAAGTGCAGCTGACCTGCAAAGCAGAAGGTCTTTTGGGCCACAGAGTAACACTGGCCACCAGAATAATTCCTGTGATTGCCTTCTGTCCAGATTCTGCATCAGAACGGAGGAAAGGAAAATCTCAGATACTCAGTCGGGTGTTGAATAGTAGATAAACTGACAATTGTTTGTATATAATGAATTTTCATAATTTTCTCAATTTACATTTGTGGATTGCTCACAATAGCTGAATGCTTTTGTCCCTGTGCCCAGATGGAGTGGCTTCAAAAAAACAATGTATGCAGAAATATCTTGATTTTAAAAAAAGATTAGGTCTACAAGTATTTCTGGTGAATAAATTAATGATGAATGCCATACATAAAATTATGAACACTGGAGCACTTCAGTTAAATACATGCTTTGAGGCTTGCTGATTAAATGGATAAAACTTTAAATATTTTTAATGTAACTGAATGATAACTTATGTCTATTTTCATATTTCTAATGACAAGTGAAATAACAATTTGTAGCACTTTGGTTAAATGCTGAACTTTGAGGGAAGAGAGAATTGTAGTAATTACAGGATTTTAAATTTACTTGTAACAATCATTTCAATATTTGAATTTGAGGATTCTTTTCTTCATTGTGTCCATAAAATCCAAACTCATGAGTCTTCAGCTAGAACAAGCTAAAAGAAATTGAAAGTTTAATCCATTTCATTACTTCTATAATGACATTAGTCATTTGCAAGCAATTCTTTTGTTTTGTTGTTTTGTTTTTTTTTATTTTCTACAAACAGGTGATATAGTCAAGTACCTTGAATTTCTTCTAAGCTGGATTTGGCATGATATTCTGGATCTATTTGTATGCTACTGCAATTACAGCAACTTGGGGCTCAGAACAGTTGATCATTTCAGTCAAATTCTTTTTTCTTTTTTTTTTTTTTTTCCATTTGCAGGGTGCTCTGGCCCACTAGGGATAGAAGGAGGGATTGTGTCAAACCAACAAATCACTGCATCCTCCACTCACCGAGCTCTCTTTGGACTCCAGAAGTGGTACCCCTACTATGCACGGCTTAATAAGAAGGGTCTTGTGAATGCCTGGACTGCTGCAGAAAATGACAGATGGCCATGGATTCAGGTAACAGATGGAGCTGAGGAGGAAAAAAATACCCTTGATTCAATTGCCAGTGTCACTTAAGAAACTGATGAAGACAAGTGGTTAACGAACAGCTAGATTCTTATTCACTGTCAGAGACATAGCCAAGGCTAAAAGGGAATATTTAGTTGCAAAACAGTGATAATCTTGACTTTACAAATGCACAAGCCCCCCCCCCCTTTTTTTTTTTTTTTCTGTAATTAAAAAAAAACCCTGGGCATATGTTCCATTGTGGCTTCTAAACAGTGGAAGCAGATTTATGCAGGCTCCTTTCAAAAAAGCTGCTTTCCACATATGTTGTATTTGGTGGTCAGCTCCTTAGAAGCATACCACAGCTTTATCTCTTTATCTCTGTAGAAGATATCCTAACACGTGCTAAAGGTGCTTGAAGTGTGGTTTTGGCAGTGCCAGAGCATGCTGGAAGAGCTGGTCCTCTTTGCTGAACTGCTCTGGGCACACAGGTTAAGTACTACTGGAAGTAACAAGAACAGTTTTAATTAAGGTTGAAACAGCTGTTAACAACCATGGGGCTGAAAATACACATTTTCTCATCCCACTCAAGCATGGCATTTCTAGAGTGATTCAAATGGCAGTGCCCTCACTGTGTACTGGATTTCTCTGTGGCCAAAAAATTACTTCAGTAAAAGCAGTGAGTATGAAGTCCTGTAGCAGTGTTTTAATGAAGATAATTATCTAGTGGCTGCTGTAGCTCTTTGCTTGGATGGTGTTTTCTAATATATTAATTTGGCATGGCTTTGGCAATTTCAGCTGTTGGTTAATAAAGGTTAGTGAGTTATATATGTGAAAACTTTCTGCACTGATCCTCATGGTCAATGTGTGAGGAGGATGCTTCCCTTCCAGTGAACCCACTGCAGGATTTAGCAAAACATGGTATTTGAGCATTTTATCTGTGAGTATTAAGTTGAACTGTCCATAATGCCCTCATCTGTGTCAGACACACTCTTCTTGAGGCTGCTTTGGTGTTCATGGAATTAATATCTGTTCACGATCAATGTTTTTGCCCTGACTACCATCTTTAATTTCATTGAGAGGCTCCTACATATCTGGGGAGGGAAGCATACACAATTACCTGCTCATTTTTCTTGTATAGAAAACAGTCACAAAGCACTGTTTGATGAAGTTTTCTGAAACTGGTGCAGTGGGAGTGCTGGATTTTGTCACCTCTGAAAAACGAAAACTGGTGTTACTGCTTGTTATTTATTGCAGAGTGAAAACACAAAGGCCCTTGACCATGTCGTAAGTCAGTTTTCCTCCATAAAGATCAGAGGGGTTTGGAAGTCTGTAAAATTTATACATTGAAAAGAACTGGAAAGGATCATGCAGGGGGACCTGAGCAGAATTATTTCCATGGGAGTAGAAAGCTAATGTAATTTTGCATAATGAAAAAGACAGCTTTTGGGCTGTGTTAGAGTGGAGGCTATATTAAATGAGCTGGAGAAAGATTTCAAAACCATTTAGCACTGGCCCCCCAGACATGTCTTTTTGAGGAGAAGAACTGGATGGGGATATTTAATGGTCTGATGCTTCCACATTTGTGCTTGGCACCATGGGGGCAGCTGCCAGGCTCCCTTGGACTTTGCTCCCTGAGAAGTCTTCCCTCTGCTCTTATATGCAAGGAACATCCTTGGGCCAGTGGAGAAAATGTGTCTAAAATCTCAGCCCATGGCAACAGGTCTTAAGAATTTGTTCTTTTTTTTGGAGTTTTGGAGGTTATTCCAGTCCCTTACAGATTATTCTATAAATTTGACAACCATGGGGTGTAAGGACTTTTGAGAAGCTTACATCACACAATTAATGTGTTTTAAGCATTCTCTTATTTTCCTTCTCATTTTTCTTGCAAAATAAACTTTAGTCCATAGTTTTCACAAAACTTCCCAAGTGCTATTTTTAATCCTCTTTTTTTGAGGTCAGAGCAAAATTAAAAAGATTCTTTGTAATTTCAGAGCAGAGGCCTTGAGAGCATTTCTTTCTTTCCTTTTTTTTTTTTTTTTTTTTCCTTAAAACATCTGGAACCAGAAAATCTGAAACAATTTTAGGGAGATGATGGAAGGAAGGTGTACTGCAGAATGTACAGATCTTTTTAGATCTGGCAAGGTGGAGACATCCCCAGACTCACACTTTATGCACAGTAGTTCTTTACATCAGAGCACTGTCTTGTTCTTCAACCATGAAATAAGCTTCAAGAAACAAACACAGCCTGACCCCCACATGGGGGAACAGTTTGACGAGAGCACAAGCAGAAATCCCACGTCTTATTTCTGCACAGGTTCTGTAATGCCCAGGGAGGTGCTCCATAAATGTGTCTGGAGGGATGAAAAAAGTCAGATTTGGGCTAAATTTCAGGCTCATGGGAGAAAAGATGCCAAACCTTCTACTTGGGTTTTTGCTCTGTTGTGTCACCAGCTTCTCCCCAGACCCTACTGGGAACAGCCTGCACATGGAACCTTTTCCATGCTGCTCTGAATGATGAAGGACCTGGTCCAGAAGAAGGCACTGAAAAACGGTGTGAGTGTTTGGCAGAGATTAAGTGGAAAGTTACAAAGCCAGAAAATCCATTTTTAGGACATGCAAATTAATATTTAGCATGGTTGAACCTAAAGCAATCTCCTGTTCCCCTCTTGTAGTTTCTAATGCTAGATAAATTCTAAAGGAAGCCGTGTATAATGGGCAAAATCCCTCAAAGTATGATTATGTACAGGCCTGTAGCTATTTTTGCCTTGTTCCATCATTATCAATTTTCTTTGTCACTTAATTTCTTTATTTATATGCAGCCTGGCAAATAAAAGGTTTGAGTGTTCTGCTTATAACTCACTTGTAATGAGTGCAGAAGTTTTTTTTTTTTTTTCTGTAATCTTTCAGGTGTCTGATACACATGAACTAATTAGTATGCAATTTCATTTTCCTGCATTCTCCCAATGAACTGAAAATTGAAATTGCCATTTTAAATTTACACTCTCAGCATGTAATTAGTAATGGCACTACAATGCTTGTAATTGGCTTGTGATTTAAAGGGTCACTGACCACGTTTTTGGAAGCAAATTATAGCCTGAGTAAGTCATATCTGCCTTTTAAAGTTCTCCTGACCTCTGTTTCTCCTCACAGGTTGGCTGTGATAAAATAACACCTGTGTACTGCTTAGCACTTTATTAGTGATATTAACTTTTATGGTTTGGAAATACAATGACAAAAAAAAAAATCACATACATCTATTCTTCATTAATTGGTCCTGAAGTATAACCAAAATGCTCACACTGACTGTTCCAGTAATGAGTCTTTTTTGTAAACTCCTTTTTTTTTTTTTTTTTAACTGTGGTTTTTCTTTTCCCTTCTGTCCTTTCACGTTTACAGTTTTAAAAAATGTTCGTTTGTTTTATTCTGATTTCACTTCATTTCTGCTCATTCCTTGCACCTGTATTTTTCTATTCCTATGTTAGTTATGCTTTTTAGGGCAGTATGAACCAGAATAGGTATGGGCAGGATTATTGTGTCTGTTATCCCTCTACCATATCCAAAATCAACCTAACAAAAAAAACTCTACAAATCTACAATCTAATGAAAAAGAAAACCAAACTGCCAGCAGGAATGTGTGAATATTACTTCTCTCCAGTGAATTTCAGCCCAGGAATCCATGCCTGTGCCCTTACACTTCTCCTCTCCCAGTTCCACCACTCCCAGGTTGGTCTCCCCGTTTTAACCACCCTCATATTTCCTAATTAATTTTCCCCTATTCACAACTTTTAAATATTTTGTGGACTTTTGGACTCGGAAATTGCTTTTACAAAGTGTAAAACCCACAGGCACCAAGAGCAGATTCCAGCATAGCTTACACCTGGAGAATTTTGAGAAAATGCACTAATTACTGAGCAGCATGCCACTACGTGGGAGATGTGTTTGAACACCTGACCTCTTGCTGGAGACTGTTGTGTATAAATGTAAAGTACTAAATTGAATAATAAACACCATATTTTGTTATCTCTCCAGAGATGTTGGCATGCTTACAAATTTTTAAAATAAAATATTCAAATATTTATTTTGTTATTGTGAGTAGTTGGAGGTTTGAAGGATTAATCTACACAACAGGTAGACTGCTCACTTTGGTTGCAGAATCAAAAGTGGGAAGTAAAGTTGGTTCAGGCTGATTATGCAGCTTTTTTCCTCTAGTTTTTATTGCATACAAGATGATCCCAAATATTTAATCTGGGGTTTCTTCTTCTTCGAAGACTCCATCCCTTTCCATCTATATTTCATATGTTTTTTCTGTTTGGAATCAATTTTGAAAGTCAAGTTGTAACTTCAAAATGGAAAAGCTATAAGTCTTAGACTACATGGCAAGAGAACTATAATTCTATAATTTTTCTAATGTATTCCCCAAACCTTTTTTTTGACATTATGTGTTAAAATTCAGATGAAACACAATAATGAGAAATACAGCAGTTTGATGGAAAATGTGCCCAATCTCTGATTGGCAATTTAAATATATTAGTACTCCAGTCCAAAGTAAAATACCTTCGGTTTATTTACAATATCAGCATGTCTGTTTTAAATATTACTTTTTACCTTTTTAATTTAGCTTCCTTAATAACTATGCCCAGCTGTAAGAAAAATTCTTCACTATATTTCTTGAAACTATGAGTAAACACTTTTGCTGCAGAGATTTTTAATAAAAAAGATGACCTGTGATGGAAAGGGACCTAGCCCAGCAGAGTCAGGGCAAAAAATTTCCCTGATCTCTGTCTTATTTATTTAGCCTTTCTTCCTTTAAAAGCACAGAGAATGCTTAAAAAAAAAAAATGTTTAAATATATATTGCAACATTATTGCTGTTAGGTAGAATTTATATTTTGATTGAGGCTTAATTTGTTTTTTACACAAGTGTCTCCACACCACTTTTAATTTCAATCCCACCTCTGGCTCTCAGCCTCACCTTTTTGAGACTTTCAGTTCCATGACATAATTAACTCT